TAAAGTATACATTTATTTATTGTTAAGATTAATAATAATAATTATAATTAGTTAAATTAGTCATTTTATTTTATTTTTTTTTTATTTTATTTAAAAAATGAATGCAAAAGTAATAAGAGTAGTAGTAGTAGTAGTAGTAGTAATAATAATAATAATAAATGCATTACTAGAGTTTAATTTATTACTTTTTTTTTTTTTTAGTTAATTTGAATGATTTTTCAATATTATTATTATTATAATTACTACTATTACTTATTATTATTATTATTATTATTATTACCACTATTACTTATTATTATTATTATTATTATTATTATTATCATTACTATTTTTAAAGTTAATAATAGGTAAAGAGAAATAATCATAGGTAATAATAAGTTTTTATTTTTATTTTTACTTTATTTATAATTTTTTTTTATGTATACATAAATAAATATTAAAAGTGGATTAATTACAAAAATGATAAATAATAATAATAATAATAATAATAATATTAATAATAATAATAATAAATGAAAAAAAGGAAAAAAGAAAAAAAAAGGAATTTTGTATGTTTTTTTATTGAAGGAAAAAATTTCATTTATTAATTAATATATGTATAAATATATATATATACATAAGGTTTGAATTTTTTATTTTATTTTACTTTATTTAAGTTTGGGTTTAAGTTTGTTTTAGTTTTTTTACTCATTATTATTATTATTATTATTATTATTATTATTATTATTATTATTATTTAATGTTTAGATTGTTGTTTAGTTGTTTGTTGTTTTCATGACATTAAGTTATCTTATACTAAATAACTGGAGTTATGATTGATTGATTGATTGGTTCTATATCATCAATGAAATATTATTCGTTTCGATATATTTTTATTTATTTTTACGGGGTACTCGTTTCGTTTAATTGTTATTTCAAATTTTTTTCCTTTTTTTTTAAAAAAAAATATTTTATAAGGAATTGGTTGTTGATTTTAGCGCGTTGAAATTAAGTAAACAAAAGTTTTCATCAATAATTACTTCCTAACGACAATTAAAAAGAGAAAAAAGGTGAGTTTAAATAAATAAATCGAATTGAATAACGTAAAAACAAAAAAAATTATTAAAGTAAAAGAATTTTAACTAACTTAAAAAAATTATTTTGAAGTGGTATTTTATTCATAATTAATTACGTTAGACAAGAAAACAACAATGGCGGACTTCCGACATTTTATCGGTTTCTGAACGCGCTCAATACACTATCGCCATATTGTGAAACTATTCCTACTAATGTTATTGTTTTATTGAATTTTTTTTTATATTCATAATTATGTCAGAATATGAAGTTTGTGCTCGAGGACCGTTAAAAATAAAAGGAGATTCAAATGTAAAAAAGTAAATAGGATATGATATTATCTATTAAGGTTTTAAAATGTATTTAAATGAAATTGTTTTATTTATGTAATTTGTTTTGTACAGGAAGAATAAAAAAAAAGATAAAAAGAAATTATTAGAACAAGTATCGAAAATAGTTGAAACGGTTGAAAACGATGCACAAAGACCACAAAATGAATTCGAATTGACAAAAGCAGAAATTGCATTTAAAAAACAACAAGAAAAAATGGTAATGTTTAAAACAATTATTATGTTATTGTTATGTACAATATTTCATCTTTTTTTTAAATAAACAATCAAATTTTTTTACAGCAAGAAGAAAGAATAAAAAAGAAAGCTTCAATGTCACACAAGCAAAGAGTAGAAGAATTTAATAAACATTTAGATTCATTAACAGAACATTTTGACATACCAAAAGTGAGTTGGACGAAATGAATACAAATCGTCTGTTACAGCCGAACACAGATTTACATACTTTATCATCTGCGAATTGAGAGTTTTTTGATTGATATTTTCCATCAATGAGAAAGAAAAATCAAAAAAAAATATTGTTTGTCATGTGAATTACATGTTGTTTTAACCCTCAGTAAAAATACCAGAGAGTTTTCGATAACAAAGAATGGGTTGTAAAAAGAATATATTTTTGAGAGCGAGTAAATCGAGAACTCCATTAACATCAACATTACGAAGTTTCGACACCTGAATAAAAGTTAATTAATCTTGTGATATAAAATGTATATAATTAATTATTGTGACATAAAATCACATCGATAAGAAATAAATAAATCATATAATTAATATTATTTATTTTTTCTTTCATATTTTATTAAAAAGAGGTAAAAAACAAATCGATAAGATCTTATTAATTAATAACGATAATAATTATTATTAAAATTATTTGTATTCGAATGTATTGATAATGAAAACGTGAAAAGGATATAAATATAAAGGATAAAAAGGATATGAAAAGAAAAAACGAAACAAAAGAAAAGAAAGAATTTTTATATTTTTTTTTAAACTTTATTTTTAATTAAAATTTTTCAAATACAATTTTTTTTTTCTCTTTTTATTTTTAATTTAAAGATCATCGAGATGAAAAACGAGAAAACGAAATTAAATAATAAAAAGAAAATGAAATTCTAAATTCTGTTTGTATTTATGTATATTTATATATACGTTTATTAAATTATCATTATTATTATCATTATGGTTGTTACCGATGATAATCAATTACATTTAGCAAAAGAAAAATTGTAATAACAATAATAATAATAATATAAGTAATTATTTTTAATTACACGAGCGTGAATTTTTTTTTTCAATTAACTAAATGACAAATATATTTATTTATTTTTTTTTTTTGTCAGTCATCACGTTTTGATAACAAAATAAAAACAATGATAATAATAATAATAAAAAAATTTAAATAAATAAAAAAAAAAAAAGAAAAAAATCGTAAAATTTTTTTTATTGGATTTCCACGGCGATGATAAAAAAAAAAAAAGTAAAGAAAAAAATTGAATGATAATGATTTTCTTTTATTTATTTATTTTTATCCAATTTACTTTGCGGTTTTTATTATTTTAAATAATAATAATAAAATTGTCTGTTGACACGATAAAATTTTCTTTCTGTTCTCAATCATCAAACAGACGCGGACAGACACACACACACATACACGAGGTTTATTATTTTTATTATTATTAGTATTATTATCATCATCATCATCGAGGATGAAGAACGACTTTATTTAATAAGGTAATTACTTATTTTTATATTTATTTAATTATTATTATTATTATTATTTGTTGTTTGTCGTTTGTTGTAAATTTAAAATTCGAGAAGGAGAATAAGAAGAAGCAGGAAACCACGCTTAGGATTAACACGTTAATGGCGATTTTTTTCTGCTTTTTTTTTATTTTAACCATAATAATGATAATAATAATAATTTTCGACAAATGATCAACCCCCCCCCACTCATCATCCATTCACCCTCGTCCTCCCCCTTTTTCAATAATACCCCCCCCCGTTTCGAACAGTACGTAATTTTTAAAAACAAATAATATATATGTATGCAAATATAAATATATTATCTAAGATGATGATAATGATGATAATAATAATAATAATAATAATAACAGAAATTTAATTAATTTTTTTAATACGTCATCAAGTTAGGATTTTATTATTATTATTATTATTAATAATTAAAATAAATATTTTCGTAACTCGATTTAAATGATTTTGCGTTGTCGTTGTTTGTCGTCGTTGTTTATTCGTTGTTTGTTTTTGTTGTTGTTTGTTTTCGTTACGTGCAACCGCATCTATCGACGATCATGGCGGGAATCCTTCCAAAAACAATATTCATGTTATTATCAAAATATAACATTTCCAATTCTGAAAGTTTTCTAGGTGCACAGCACGGACCGTTTCCGGCTGCGTTTGCCAATTGGGAAACGTGGGTGTGAGGATAAAGTGGAAGAAAAACCGGAGGGCATTCCCCTGTAAAAAAAAATTTATTATTATTTTATTTTATTTTGTTGTCGTTTGTCGTTTGTCGTCGTATACTGACCTGCGCAATAATTAGCTTCGTATTTCGTCGGTGCGATTATCCAATCCCATCCGAATTCCATAAAATCAACCGTTAAAGGATACCTGCAACATCTCGTTTCGTTTGACGAATCTTTACAATTTAATCCTATCGTACGTTTCGTTCTATGTTTACGATTATCGGCAACGTAAACTTCCAAAAAAGGTACCTGAAAAGAAAATCCCCGGAAAATGATTACGTCACGGTATCGTATCCATGTTAATAATAATAGAAAATAAAAAAAAAAAAAAGTCGTACATAAGCCGTATCGTTTCCGTTATGAGATGTTACCGCTAAATTTGTTCTGTTACCATCTTCGGCACTTATAACGATACCTAAATTATGTTGCGGATACCTGAACCAATCCGCGACGAGATTTTTTATCTGTACGTATTCCATAGTGATCCAAGCACCGGATCCCGTGGGAATGGATTGCGTTGAATCAGCTCTTACGGATGTTATAACGGGTGATTCTCGCGAACCGTTTGCTGTAATACGATTCAAAAATCATTTAAAAAATTTTTCTTTCATGATAATAATGATGATGATGATAAATGATGATACTCACAACCAGATTTTCCCGTGTCTAATATTTTATATATTGATATAATAATTTTATTACCGACGACGCTCGTGCTTTCTCTACCTTTTATATAAATCCATAAAAGTGCTCTTTTCACTTTGCTTGCTCGTAATTTGTCGCTGAATTCAAAATACTGTATGTGAGGTAAATGCCTTATTCTCGGATCTTTAAAACAACAACCACAAAAATTTACTATTATTATTATTATTATTATTATTATTATTTTAAAAAATTTAACCTGCAGACAGACAGACAGACAGACAGACAAATAAATAGACAGACAATTATTATCAGACGTGTATTGATGATAGGGAATAGTCAAAAGGTTAAAAATATATATATATGTATTTTTAGGTCACGATTTTATAATAAAACAAACGAACGAACAAACAAACAAACGGCCAGTGCCATATTCGCGGTATACCTACATAAGAAAATTTTTTTTCTTTTTATTATTATTATTGGGGTTGTTCGTTTTGAAATAAATTAATTAATTTTTATGATGCAAAAAATAAAAGTTTGAAACGTTTTGTGAGTTTGTTGGTCGTTTGTTTGTTTGTTTGTTGATTTTTGCCGCGGCGTCGGTGACGTTTCGTTTCGTTTCATAAGGTAAATGTGCGTGTATGAATGTTTGCCTAAACATAAATAATAAGGCGTATTCAATAAATTTTTTTTTTGGCGGGAAAGAAAGAGGAGAAGGGAGAGACGGGGAAGGGAGGGGGGGAAAGGGCAAAGGTCGTGGATTGAATACTCGATAGGTGTAGCTAAAACGAATATTTTTTTTTTTTTTTTTAATGTAAATTTTAAAAAAAATTCACGAGAAAACGCGAGTGGAAAATCGACAATACGAATAATTTTTTTTAAAAAAAAAGCAGAAGACGTGCGTTAATTAAATTTATTTTTCATCATTTTTAATAAAAACGTTCCCTCCTCTCCCCTTCCCTCTCACCCAACCCCCTCCACCCGTAACGATAATAATAATAATAATAAATACGAATGAGGAAAAAACGTTCTCGTTGTGAGAAATTATCAATCTCGTCCTCCAACGTTTTCCAACGTAAATAATAATCAGGACCGTAGTCGGTCGGACGTTAAAAATAATAATTCAATCGATCATTAAATATTAACGTAACGAAACCTTTGGGAAAAAATTAAAAATGGCGGAAAAGAGAGTAAAAAAAAAAAAAAGATTTTTAAAAGGTTAATAAATTCGTATATGGCAATAAGTTTTGCATGCAAACAACAATTCAAAAACGCAGACATAAAAAAAAAAAAAAAAAAAAAAACTCGAATAGTTATAGGTCGTTGGAAAAAGAGAGAGAGAGACCACAAAAAGAGATGATGAGAGAGAGAGAGAAAGAGGTAAAAAAATTTAAAATACGATGACGACGAAGACGACGACGGTTAAAGAGAACCTTAAAAAAAAAAAAAAAAAAAAATTTAAAAATGGTTATTTCGCTTTGTAAAAACAATAAAAAACTCTAAACAATAAATTTTTATTTGAGGGATGCTTTAAAGGATGACATTCTTATTTTTATTGTTTTAAATAACTCAAGAAAAGTGCAAAAGTATAAAAACGAAACAAAAAAAAAAAAAAATGGCGATTAATCTCTGCGTTGAGGGAAAATTTATGATCTTTTTTGTTTTCTTACTCATTGAAAAAAAACGTTCGGAAAATAATAATAATAATAATAAGTTTTCAAACACGTTGAGAAAAAATACAAAAAAAAATAAACCAGACTCATTATTATTATTATTATTTAAAATCTAGAGCATTCGTT